CAAGGGTTCAGAAACAAGTGGCATAAGAACTCACATGGAAGTCATCCTCAATTTTCTAACTTTAAGGCTGTTCTTTTACAAAAGACACACAAAGTACTCAAGACAGTAACTTGACTTGTAGTGAATATTAATATAACTATGTCCATTTGCTTTCACTTATAGTCTTGAAGATGACTAATGATAACAAAGTTGTTTAGAAAATGCTCAAGGATCAGGCCTTGTATTTTGAGAGGTGTCCTTTGCACAGCAGTACAACATGCCAGTACTGTCCTTAATTCCATATTGATTATCAAATTATCATTGGTTCAAATCAGTAAGAATGAAAAGAATGCAAGTTTCTTTCATTAAAAAAAATAGAGAGGGATTAATATATATATAAGACTCCCTACAGGGCAGAGAAAGCATGCATCTTTCATACCTTTTTCTGATAAATATAATTAGATCAAGAATATTTATAAAAACATTAAAATGCTACAGTTTTCTAACTGTATGCCACCAAATACCACAAAAACCTAATGCAACTGTTACCATGATAAAAGGGTAGTATCATCATTTTTAAAAACCTCACCTCTAGTCTCACCCCTGAAGACAGCCCCCCAGTTCTACCAAAACCATCCACTTCCATAAAAAGGTCCTTTTTTTGACAACTTAGACAATCTACCATGGAGATTCAGGAAGAAATGAGGCTATGATTAACAAGTTTTTGCTTTGCGTTTAGGCCTGTAAGGGAACTAATAGTGACAACTCAGCTTTTGATTGTTTGTACTTTCCCCAGTAAGGCTCAGAGGATTACAAACTGACTCTTTCCTTTGGAAAAATATGGGATATGATGTTGAAAGAAATAAGGTCAAAACCAGAAAACAATGACCAGGTCTCATAATATCATGGCACTTCCAAACTCTAAGAATAAAAAGGCAATAAGATATATTAGTTTTAACAATTAAAGAGCAGGACAATTTCTACAACATGTTGACTTACAACCAACTTAATTATTACAGATTCTCTTAAGCCCTAGAAAATCTGAGGAAGATTGAACACTACAATTCCTTGGCTACAGGAAGAAAAAACCCAACTCTGTTCTTTAAAGTTTAAATTTCTTTTAAAGGGAAAAGTAACAAGAGAACTGAAGCAAAAGGAAGACGTTAATTTGGACATAAAGGATGTCTGAACTAATTTTGCTTCAGAAGATAGTAACAGAAAAACTAGTGTGTTGGTTACCATTTCAGATCTAATTACTTCTGTGTCTACAATCTTAACTTGAAAACTGCACAAATTTAGAAAAAGCACTTCCAGGATCATAACAAACAAGAGAGCTACGGGAAGATATATACCATAACAGTAATAACACTGAACTACAAATTTAGCCTGCTCTACAGAGGGTTTTAATGCCATTAACAAAAGCAGGCAAAAAGCAAAAAATCTGAAAGAACCTGAAGGTGTACAAGTCAATAGGACCCAATGAGATCCATCCACGGGTCCTGAAGGAACTGACAGATAAAGCTGCTAAGTGGTTTTCCATCATATTTGAAAAGTCATGGCAGTCTTGTGAAGTTCCCACTGGCTGGAAAAGGGGAAACCCCCTTTTAAACCCCATTTTCAAAAAGTGAAGGAAGGAAGACCTTGGTAACTACAGGCCTGTCAGTCTTACCTGTGTGCTTGGCAAGATCATGAAGCAGATCCTCCTGAAGACTCTGAGGCACATGGACAAAGGGGAGGTGATTGGTGGCAACCAATACAGCTTCTCAAAGGCAGACTGCCTGGCAAATTTGGTGGCCTTTTACAGTGGAATTACACTGTTAGTGCTAAGTGAAGAGCATCCTATGTCATCTACCTGGACTGGTACAAGATGTTTGATGCTGTACCACACAACAACTTGGTCTCTAAATTGGAGAGACTTGGATTTGACAGAGGGGCCACTTGATGCATAAGTAACTGGCTGGAGGCTGCACTCAAAGAGTTGCAGTCAATGGTTCAGTGTCCACACAGAGACGAGTGAATGGCTTTCTTCAGGGGTCAGTACTGGGACCAGTGCTGTTTAACATCTTCATCAATGACCTGGTTTGAGGCAATCCCAAGCACAAATACAGACCTGGGGTGCTGGTTAATGAAAAGCTCAACATGAGCCAAAAATGTGCAAGCGCAGCTCAAAAAGCCAACCCGATCCTGGGCTGCATTAAAAGTGTGGCCAGCAGGTCAAGGGACGTGATTCTCCCCCTCTGCTCCGCTCTCAGGAGACCACACCTGGGGTACTGCATCCAGCTCTGGGGTCCTCAACACAAGAAGGACATGGGCCTGTTGGAGCAGGTCCAGAGAAGGACCATAAAAATGATCAGAGGGCTGGAACATCTCTCCTCCTAGGACAGGCTGAAAGAAATTAGGTTGTTCAGCCTGAAGAGTAGAAGGCTCTGGGGAGACCTTTTTGTGACCTTCCAGTATTTGAAGGGGCCCTACAAAAAAAACTAGGAAGGGACCTTTTAAAAGGGCTTGTAGTGATAGGATATAGGGTAATGGCTTCAAATGAAAGAGGGTAAATTTACGTTATAGTGAAGAACTTCTTCCTAATTTCTAAGGGTGCCGCGACACCAGAACAGGTTGCCCAGGGAAGCTGTGGATGCTCCAACACTGGAGGCGTTCAAGGCCAGGTTGGCTGGGGGCGTGTGCAGCCCTGTCCTGCGGCATGGCAAGGGGCTTGGAACTAGATGATCTTTAAGGTCCCTTCCAACCCAAACCATTCTGTGATTTTATGAAACCACTTAACAAAAACAAAAAACAAAACAAAACAAAAAAAACTCACAATCCAAACTGGCCCTTCCACTGACTTCTACAGAGAATGGCTTGCATTAGAATATTGCATTCAGATCTCTGGGTTAGGGTTTTTTGGGGATTATTTTTCCACCAATCTCCTTCATGTTTTGCACAATTAATAGAGAAACTTTTCTAACAGGCAATTGATACTACAGTAACTAGGCTACTACTCAGATCATTTTTTCTTGTTAATTTCTGATAAGTCATTTGTGGTTCTGGATACCTAGAGACATATCAAGGTCTTACCTGTATAAGATGTAAAGAATCAATTAACTTGAAAACTCTCACAAGTACTTATTTTTTTGTAACCAAAAAAACCACAAACAAAAAAACTCACCACAAAAAAAAAGCATCACCACCAAAGAAACATCTCAACCACCCCAAAATCAGCTTAAAAATGGTAGAAAACAAAAGCAAAGTTGGAAGGAGAATCTGTATTTGTTAATCCACCAAATTCCCAAGTACTCATAAAGGAACCAAAACATTCCAATTAATTTTAAGAACTTTTTGAGGAGGAAAGAATTTCTATTTAAAGTTTTATGCTTCTTTATTTTTTTCTTCTGAAAATTCTAAATTACAATAACTTATTTCTATTTTTCCTTACAGGTTTTAGTATTTTTTTTCCTTTGATAAATTAACTTGCATTTATCTTTCCAGAACTATACATTTGTCTGAAAACATATGGAAAATTTGGTAAGATTCAGGACTGTGTTTTCCCTCCCCTTCCTATTGCCCAAATCCAAACCATCACACACAATCCACAATCCTTCTCATTCCTTTTCTCATTCAAGTAAAGCAAATCACTGAAGCACTAATATCCCGGGCTGCAGAGGATGTCAAGAAACAAGAAGTGGGAACTCTTTCATGAACAAGCAAGAAGAAAAACAGTGGAAGTAAGTGTTCTGGCTTTCTAAGAGAGTTCTGAATGCATTACACTGCATTTTTTGTCTATTTAAAAAAAAGTCCATCTCTTCACTTTTGGTTACAGAACTGCCAATAGAAGTGATTCTCTCTTTTGCTGCCACTCCTCCAACCCACACTGTAGTGAATCTCGCAATTGCGCAGCCATGTAATTCATGAGTAAGTTGCTCCAAGGGAAAACTACACTTTTTGGCAGTACAGTTTAATGCTGGCTTAGCTCACTCGGCAAGTGTATGAGCACTCCAACAGAGAGAGTTTAGCAGAAACATACAGAGCTGGTGTGGAAGGTGTTGTGTTTCTGCTTGTGCCAAGTATGGAGGATGAGAAAACACTGAACTACCCATTCAGGCAAGAGCTGCCATCGCAACACCCTAGATATAACATGAAATTACAGCCTGAGTCCCAATCTTTCACTTCTAGATTAAAAGGAAAGAGTCTGTTAATACCAGCGACTATGGTGCTCAACACGTAAATATGGAGAAGTTGATTAGGCCCATTAAAGCAGTGAGCCAGGCAACTATTTGGAAAGCCCAGCAACACTGATGCTATGAACCAATTCCTCTGAAAAAGGGAAAAAAAAAAAAAAAAACCAGGAAAAAAATAAGAAAGGAAAAACCAAGACCTCTGAAGCGATCCCTCCAAGGGAACTCAATACACATGCAACATACAGAAGCATTAACTGCAACAGAAGGCATTTTATCATGTGCCAACTCATGCAAAGCCTTTCCAGCTAACATCACCAGAAATTTGACTAAAGAACTCACTTTGCACTGACATTCTGAGATTCTACAGCTGTGATCTCAGACTTAAGTAGCAAAGTGAAGTTTCCTGCTTTAGCAGTCTGAACTAGAACACAGCAAACTCTTGTTTTCCTGAATCCGTACTGTATTATGAAACCAGCATAGGATTCTCCCCTGTAATGCCCAAACTCAACAGGTGTCTCTGGGTGAAAAAGCTGCTGTCATACAGGAGTTAAACCGTTTACCTTTGCTTGGTAGTTGCGATTCCTTACTCTGAAGGCAGCTGCACAAGACAAGCGTCATCATCCGTGAACAATGTAGTGTACAGACATCTGAAAGTTGCTTCCTGTCCTATGGGACTACTCACATACCCAAGGTTTGTGAGTATACACAAGGTGACTACAGTCTAATACATGCCAACAGTTTATCCCTCTATAGCATAACAGATTCTTGTTTCAGTGTTCTCCACTTGTAAACCAGCAATGAGTCCAAGTACAAATGATAAGATTTCTCCTTTGAAAGGGCATCACTTACCAGTAACTACCATGCTGCTCATGTTAGAGTTCGGGCTATTGAGTACACTGCCTGAAAGAAGTTCGTCAGATCCTCTCTAAAAAGAAAGAGACAGTAAGATTTTTTTTTTTCCTCTATTTTGTGGTTTTTTTAAAGATTATATTAAAAATGGCAGTTTAACAGGGAAAACCTTTAGAAGAACTTAAGCAAGCATAACCAAGCCTATTCAGATTTGGCAGACTTCCTCTATTCAGATAAGTGCAACAACTAGAAATCTAAGTAAAACAGTATATGTACATGGCATTCTTTGAAATATGAGCAGCTTAAGCAGAGTTGTTTCACCCACCACTGAAATGAAGCCACCTCAAGACACGAGAACTGCTGAACAATAATTTTGTCCAGCATTTCAAATTAAAATATTATTATAATCAACTATATCTAGTCTATTTCAATAACATTTAAATTGATTTATTGTTTTAATATTTTAACATACAAATATCTTAAATTATATCTAGCTCAGACTACAAGGGAAATCTATACGAACAGAAATATGGAGTTTAGTTCAATTCTAACAACCCTATTTAAAAAGGAATAAATACATGTCTTCATAGGGAATTATCAATTTTCATTTTGGGGACACCTATTTGTCCTGCAAAACACAACTCTAGGGCAGGGAATTACATCTTCATTATAATTCTTAAAACACAATAAATATAAATTAAATGGTGGTTTTGAAGATTATTCAAAAATGTGCTGCAAAAATCAGAGGAGGGTTTATAGTGAAAACTTACAAGATATTTTCCTTTCCTATGATTTGCAAGATAAGCATCAGACAAGGCTGAAGAGGCTTTTGTCCTTTTTTCACACCTTCAGTCCCCCTTCCCTCACTTTATTTTACCCCCTGCATCCCTCAAGACTTCAGCTCTCAAAAATACAGCTTTAATTTCAATTTTTTTTTTTTTTTTTTTGCAAGTGAGTAAGTCTGACATCTTTTGAAGATTAATTTCTTATTGCTTTGTTCCCCACTTTGGAAGTTATTTCCCCAGCACCCTTAACACTAATTCAGGTCACTGTTAAAATGGAACTGAGGAAAGAAAACAGTTACTGCCTATCTTTATAAAAATAAACGGTTTTAATTCTGTTGTGGATACAACAATAGAATCTTAAGAATAGACAGTGAATATGTTCTACAGGGCACCTGAACACAGCATATTAAATTAACCTAACCATATCACCTTTCCAGGCAGCATGGTTGCAAGATGCATAAAATCAAACTTTTACCATTTGATCATAGTGCACTGTATGTGTATCCATACACAGAACAGTATGTTCAAGTTTGTTTAACCACATCTGAAATCCAAAAGCTCTTAAAAATAGTGTATCTGTGTATGCACATATAGAGCCATTAGAGTTACAGTTTTCAACATCAGCTCTGAAGAATCTTTTTACAGTTTATTGAATATGCTAAGCTCTCAACAGTACGTCACAATCAATAAAGCTGTGCCTATCAAGTCAAGAACAGAGATCCTTTAAAATTGAACAATGCCTAACAAAAAGATTAGGTAGGACCATGAGATGGACCACATCTTGTCCTTCTCAACGTAGGGACAGATCTCTAATCAAATATAAAGGAAAAAAAAATTTAGCTGGACAAACCTGAGAAATATGTTAGAGAAGTTAAACTCTCCATTATTCAAACTGCATTGTTTTCTACTCTAAAGATAATACACTAACCCAGGCACTCAGTAGAATTTTAAGAGAATGAATGTGTTTCAACATTCTATTTTTCTAACATGATATTTATATGAGTAGAATATTGTAAAGTTCAAGATTATTAGCAGTATAAGCTTAGACAATGAATCTCCTCACAGCTACCCACGTAGCCTGGCTTGGAAGCCCCTATGCATAGCCTGGGCAGCTCAACTGGGCAGGGAGAAGCAGCAGCACAGGATCAACCAGTTCACAGTCAGGTATATTAAGATAATTCAACAGCATTTCTTTTCCCCCTTAATATGCCAGGCATTATTTGCAACAGTACAGCAATTTCTACATAAACAGCTGAAGTATCCCCAGTACATAATCAATGTTCTTGCCAAAACCTGCAGGAACTTGACAATTCTGAAATATCTCAATTTGAGCTGTCTTCAGCTTCAAAAAGTTACTTACATCAGCAACTGCTGACTACTAGAATGAGTGATTACATAAATTCCTGGCTCCTAGTAAGGCTTGCAAAAAGCTGTTAATTTGTTAATCCACAGCAAAAAAAAAATCCAAAAGACAAGTTACTCAATAGACTGGATCTTCAGTTACTGCGCTTGTGTTTCACGAACAGTTAAGAGTTTTCATTTTAAAACACAATTTTTCATTTTATTAATACTTTCAGAGTCAATCACAAGATTTTGTCATTACACTTCAAAAAGTTTTAGGAGTTTTGCTTCAGAAGACTACGTAGATGTGAATTCCTTCTATTGGCACATATCGTATATTCTACATTTGGTTTATTCACATCAGTGTTCACAAGTCTGGTTCACACACGTACAGGCTCACATGTGGAATGTTCTTCCAGTTCACCATGAAATCACAAATGTATAACAAACATCTGCTAACTCATTCCCATACATACTTGCCAAGCATTTGGTAAAAGACAAAGATATCTCTTACTCTAATCATCTTATTAGATAGATACGTTTAATTTTCCTTATCAGTTCTTACGCTGCCTGGAGACCTCTGCACTAACTTTAAAATCAGCTATGCAGCAAAAGACTCATGATGTACTTGGACACAGAGCAGCTAAGTTACAAAATAAAAAGTAGTAACTGCCTGGTAGTTCTCATTCACTTTAAAAGGGTTATCTTAAGATGACAGTTGTTCAGTAAAGCAATTTAATATAAGGATTTCAAGTAAGCCAATGTGTACTCTTAGACTGGCATTACTGTGTGACACAAACACCCCCTGAATTACAGCTCAGACATTAAAACTTATTTTACTTACATTTATTCAGCAGAGATAAGACTTTATACGATTTGTGGTTTGGAGTGCTTGCTTTGTTTTTATGTGCATTCTCTTTTAAATGTTGCTAGGCTAAAAAGGACTGGCATCTTGTCCAAGCAGAGCTCTTCATCATTCTGCTACCTTACACACAAACTTCAGAATTATAACCTATTTCCTAAGTATCTTGGAATATGTGCTAGCCTTACTCTAAAGCACACCAGTTCTGCTAGCCATATCATGCAAAGCAAAGAAACTTTTGAAATAATTTAGGTAAATTCCATTGATTGTTTCACAGAAAAAGAAACTAAAGCCAGATCTTTGAAGAACATCACAAGTCACATTCAATGAAGAATGGGCAATCCAAGAACAACATTCACATAACTATTTTCCCCATCTGTGCTAACTGCTGTGTTCTAAATAAAAGCAAGTTTAAGATCATATAACAAAACTGAGGATCATATGAACACAGATCACAGAAATGGCCAAGCAAGTTAAAATAACAAACTAACAAAAAAACCCGCAATTTTATTTTGTCATAGACTGCAAAGGAAAGTTCCTATAATAGCAACATGGAAGAGACTAATTTATAATCTCCTTCCCTCATGCTAAAATGGATATTCAAGGACAAAAGTAGTACAAACTGCTACTACACTATTAATAGGTCATCTAACAGCTAGTCCTCAACAGCACAAGTTTTCAATGCCATATTTCTCTGCCAACAATGTCAAGAACATTAATCTTTCAAAAAAGCTAAACACCTATTCATATCAGAGATAGCTAGAATGTTTCTTCATGAAACCAGCATCTACCAAAATACCATTAAACAAAATAAACAAGGGAAATGGCAAACTCATTTCCTGCAGCAAGTGAACCTTAAACTTATTGCAGAGTCATTATTGTCCATTGAATGAAGCCCATGTTATCACACCATTGCCCCCATGAGAGCATTTCCATTCCTGGTGTGAAAACAGCATGTTAATGTTATGGCTTCAACCAATGGAATTAACATCAAACAAACATGTAGGGTCACTTTCAGAAAAAGATGGGAAATGTCCAAAGTCTTGAACTGGTATATGTATTTTACAGAAACTTAAAAATTATATACAAAAAATTATTTAATATACTATAAATCGAAATATTTCTATTTGTAGGACTTAAGTATTTCAGTTAATTTCTATAAATGAATACACTTATTGTATATACTCTGTCTCTTCTACAATTTACAAAATCAATTATAGAAGGAGAAAGAAAAAGCCCCTAGCTTAGCAAATTAATCTCCTAGCTCCCAGCTTTAGCCGTCATCACCAACTCAGAATCCTTCACAATACAAACTGGATTTACAGAGCAGGATTTTTTTTTTCCCCTCCCATAACAGACTACTATAAAGTTTCGTGCTATCACAGGTTATATTAGGCAGCTATGTAATTTCAGGAAGTCATTACAGTCATACTATCCTTCCAGACTAATCAAATAAAAAATAGACTATTTATAAGTCTTTGCCAACTATTTTCCTCACATTCCAGATAGGGCTTTAAATATTTCAAACATACCCAGATTTTATTACATCCAAGTTGTTTTAAAAAAAAAAAACCAACAAAAAAACAACAACACCCCACAACCACACACACTCATAGAGTAACAGTTCTGGTTTGAGAGTTACCATATACGTTTAGTCTTTTAAGCATCAAAGTACTTTTTGACAACTCTTTATGACAGAGAAACGTCATCATCTTTCGCCAATAATTCAGGGCTATGGAGACACTGATCAGAAGTTACGGCTGAACCCAACATAACAAACTTAGTGTATAGTACCAGTAGCACGTGTGGATGAACTACAATATAAGAACACTAAACCAGTACTGCTAGAAACAGAAAAAAAGTGACAAAACTGCACTTTGATAAAAAGTCCACAGCATCATCTAAAATAATTTCTGAAATTCCCACTAGAAAAAATAAATACCACACCAAGATATTGAAAAATACATTTTCTGTTAAATCCTCTCATTTATGGTATTCAAATTTGCTGATATTACAAGCCTCTCTCAAGAACAGGATGCTACTGCACACACCACGTCCTCACCCCCCATCCCTCTCTCCCCTCCTCTC